CTAGGTCCAGCCAATGGTCAATATAGCGAAACTGATCAGGGTGCCCAGGCATTCTGGTAATGACTTCCCACACTGCCTGTATCATTTAAAATCCAGTGACCCGGCTGGGGGCCATCCTGTTCCAAATCTTGGCCATTCCACTTTGCAGAGTTTGGAGCCTGCCTTTTGTAAGGCGGACTCCCTACTCTCCTGAAAACCCGAGGTAAAATTCTTCAACATGCACTGAAGGGGTGTAGAGGTTCCAGAAGAGACAGAATCCATTATGGAAAGTACTGAGCGGGACAACTCTTCCTGTAACAACACCTAACCAGTTATTTCAAAGACAGACAAGAGGATGGGGAATCCCATATTGGGAGCTCTCAGATGGCAGCCTGGCCACTCCCCTTACAGGGACGCAGGTGCCTCTTGACACAGACAGGTCGCTGTAAACCCCTGACTTGTATCAAAACTAGTCCAACGCAGCAGAACTAGCCTGATGCTGTCATTAGGCCGTATGAGGTCACCACAGAACCGCAGGTTGGGGCCTACTTGGACTCCACAGCTTATACAGTGAAGCCACAAACTGGATCCTTAGATGCAAGCCTCTAAGGTCCCCACACACTCACACATATGCGCACACATGCATTCAGAGGTTATTACAGTCTTTTTACACTTTGTAAACAGTTTGAACCTTGAAGAACTTCTTGCCTTCTTTGTAAATGTTTCAAATTAGACAGAAACCAGGGACTCTGTCCTCCAGCATCCTGGAGTATAGACAGAGTCTACAGGGATGCCCTCATCAAGTCTGGACCCCTCTAAATCAGACAGTAGGACAGAATCAGGGACCCCTGACACCCAGAGTCCAAAAACAGACAGAACCAGGAACTCAAGATTCCAGACTTCAAAGACAGAACAGAATCAGGAACCTTGGATACCCAGAGATCAAAAACCAGAACCAGGACCAGGGACTCTGGAGCACCCAGAGCCCAAGGTCACAGGAATCACCTTAGTCAATTCTGACATCCCCATAATTACTTCCAGGAATAACCAGGTCAGGTCTGACTTACCTTTTCCACTAAGCAGGACCAGGGACTCTGAAGAATAACGTGGTGCAGCGCACTGGGAGTTGATCCACTCTCCTCCAGCAAGGGTTGGTCTATGGGGCCCTGGAATGTCTCAGGGGGTGCCTCCCCTATAGTCTGCCTCCCAGCTCCGGGGAGCCCAAAACCATCCCAGTCTGCACTGATGGCAAAATATATAAAATAACAAGATAAGAACTCTGGCTGGGGCCTCCAAATGTAATAACCGAGTGAGTTAGAAGGAACGCGCCACACTCTGAGCTCCAAATTAAGAGCCCTTTATTAATTAGCCAGTGACTGAGAGACAGCTAATGCTCAAAATTCTCTCGGCCCTAAAGAAGGGACTTGATTGTCTTTTATACACTGATTTAGGTAATGGAGGGGGTACCTAGCTGAAGCAGAATTGTACAGAAGCAGAAAAGCAGGTTAGAAGAAGGTGCTGTGGGCACAGGTGGTTTCCAAGCAATTTAATGATCAAAGAAAAACGGGGGTCATCAGGCTCCTTACACAATGATCAAAGGGAAACATTTTTCTGATAATAGTGGGGGTAAGTATGCCAAGCAGGATGTGGTACAATGGTTACAATTGTTAAGAACAGTATGCTTCAATGCTTCTAAGTGCAGCATGACCCAGTTATGCACCCAGAGGGGCTGTGGTAAGGAGGAGGAAGCCAGGTTGGAGTTTACAGCTAAAATGGAGTCAGTGATGCTAGCCCAGGGTAGGTTATTACACTAAGTTAGTTTATAGGTTTGGTAAAGTATCAGCTAATGAATAACACAGGTAGCCTCTAACAGAGACCCTTGATTATGTAGTGAAAATAATCAACAAAAGATCAAGTAAAAGAGTTTAAATATGTGTACTTGTGTGTGTTTCTGCCTTTACTGTATTGCCAAGTTAATTTCTGAATTATTGCACATTATTTTTTATTGGCAAAACAAAGGCAGCATGGTGAAGAAAAAATTGTGATCAAACTTGATTAACCTCTATTTAAAGCTAAGAAAATATGTAAGTATTTAATCATTTCAATCTAATGTAGAGTCTCAAAGGTAGAGCAATACCTTTGATTACATTTTAATCAATACCAATGATTTTATTCTACTAAAGTTAATAGGTATTTATGCAATTAAATAAACCAAGGATACTATCTCTCAAAATGATTATCACCCTTTTATGATGACAGGTCATTACTTATTAGTGTTAATTCTCACCATATTTAATAAGTTATTCAACAAATAGAGAAGACCAATAATGCAGAACTTTTGGTGACGTATATAGAAAAATTCAACCCTAGGACACTTGATTAAGGAAACTGACCTTCATAGTGACTGAGAGATCAGTAGTGCCACCTGCAATATCTGTGAAGGGGACTGTAGAGAGTATAGAACTCATGAATGAAAAATCAAGGAATGATAATAAATTGATTTTCATAAAGAAAAATGGACGAGAGGGCAAGGGAAGTAAAAGCAAAATTAGCAACTGAGAAAAATGTGTGAGATGAAAATATTAATCATTGGGGAAAAAGGGGAAATATTCAAATACATGGAAAGGAAAAATGTCCATTATAGGAGGAAATTTATCATAGAAGGGAGACAAATAGAGTAATAAGATGAGAGGATAAAGATAAAGGCAATAAAAAAGTGATAGGCAAGAGGTAAAATAGCTGAATAATACAGAAAGTAGAAAAGATGGTTAGAAAAAAAGTAAAACTATAGGAATGCAAGAGAAACACAAGAGGAGACCTCACACAGAGAGGAAGAATGAAAGTGAAAAGGCCCAAAGAGAGTACGTCATTTTAAGAGAGAAAGAAAATGGAATGAGAAGAAAAATTAAAGTGGATGAATATAAAAGACAGTAGGGGGATCTCTGAATATCAATGGGATTAATATTTTCAAGCAATTATTGTGGAAGCAAATAAATGTTCTTAAAATTCTTATTCTGCCATAAGTCATAGGTATTCATGTAATTAAATAAACTAAGAGTATTACCCATAATCACCCCCTTTTATAATTGCATGTAATTTACATATTAGTTTCATTTCTTTGTTTATTCATTTATTGAACATATAGAGCAGGCCAATAAATGAATATAAGAAATGACAAAATCAATTCTGTGTGGCTTGTGTGCAGTTGTGTGTGTGTGTGTGTGTGTGTGTGTGTTGCTGTCTCTCCTCACCTTCCTTTCCAGCTCTGTGAGGAGGAACTCATTGTAGAGCCTACATCACAGTGTGAGGAACTGATGATTAATGAAGGAGAGTGTTTTGAAATCTAAGGTTCTTCATGATCGCTAAACAGTAAAACTGCAGGGAACAACAGCACACCTGTGCCAGTACTATCTAAAAATGAAAAATGAGAAAAGGGTTGCCTTTTCCTCCTTTGTCTTTCCATAGGAAAGACAAATCTTTCAAAAGTTGATGGAGATTTTGACATCTGGTGCTAAGCCCAAGTCCCAAAACTGTCCCATAAATATGCCTTAGAATTTAACATGCTCTCTAGCTGGGTGCCTGGGAACTTTCCTGTGTCGAAGTATGTATGAGTGATAGTTAAACGACAGTTCAAAAGCTGTTTGTGAGTGTTTTCAAGACGGTTTCATTTCTCCCTGCCAAATTTCTATAGGTAGCTTGCACACGCTTGGTGCTGCAATAGCAACCTGTACTTCTAAATAAAAATAAAATCCTTAAATATTGTTTCAAACATGCACTGAAGTCCATGTTATTTCCGTTAATGCCTTTGTCTTTTTAATGCAATAGTTAGATTTTCCAATCAATTTTCACTGACTTTCTAATTTGGACTTCAGTAATATGCAGTGATCTCATCAGAAAATACATTTAGCACATGTCTAAATTACTGGGTTGGAATTTCATTTTCTTTGGCATTTTAAGATACTCTGAGTAAACTGATAGTAAATGCTTTGGGGACAATAGACCTCCTTTATCAGTGTACAGCTCTCCACTCAGTGTTAAATTATTTCTTGAAATGGATAGTTGGGAGAATAATATTGAGAAGAGAAACATTAAATATGTTTGACTAAGCTAAGAGCCCCACCATATATTTTGAATTGGTAGGTTCAGTATTATCACCCTTAATTTAGTTCAATCACAAATAGACTGTGTTGTGGGCTAGCACATTTTTCAAATAAATAGGGACCAGAGCAGCAGAATTAGCTGACACTAACTGAACGGCAATTTTATGGATTTCTTTTTCTGTTGAAATGAGCTCCTAGCGGTAAATGTAGAAGATTCTGGAAATGAACTGGTACAATTCAGAAATCTACAGAAGCTCCTTGACTTATGATGAGAGTGCATCCTGGTAAACACATCGTAAGTTGAAAAGACTTAGCTGAAAACACAATTAATGCCCCTAACCTATTGAACATCATAGCTTAGCCTAGTCTATCTTAAAAGTGCTCAGAACATTTATTTTAGCCCACAGTTTGGCAAAATAATCTAACACAGAGCCTATTACACAATAAAGCACTGATTATCTCTTGTAATTTATTGGACGTTGAGCTGAAAGTGAAAAGCAGAATGGTTGTTTGGGTACTCCAAGTATGGTTTCTAATGGATGGGTATTGCTTTTACACTATTGCAGTTGAGAAATCGTGAGCCAAATTATAGTAAGTTGGGGTCGTCTGCACTTTTAAATATTTTGATGACAAATTCTTGGTTTACAAATAAAAACATCTAAGTACAGAATTAGAGTGCAATATAGGGGTGGAAGGGCAGTAGGGCAAGAGGGTGACATACACCCAAGGACACATCTTTGAAACCGCATGTTCTCCTTCAACCTAGTCTTTCCTTTTTATTCCTTTTCTGCTCCCAAGTGAAAGGGGAAACAGTTCCTAAAGTCCGTTTCAACCTCTCCCCATGTAAGTTTTCAGTACTTCATGCTTGCTTAAAGTATGCGATCTTTTCCCATCATTTCTAACACATCCTAGATATCTCACCTTTTCGCTGTTGTTGCAATCTCTCTATATTCTTCTGCAGAAAATCGCTGCTGATTTGCAACCCATTCTGCCTCAGTTTTTGGCTGTCCTATTGGCAAAGTCACATAATATAGTTGTGGATGGATACCATAATAGAATATTAACATATATATACATATATATACCAATATTAGAGAAAATACAAAGGATAAAGCAACTGTATAAATTTGCAGCACAATCCAAAAAATGGTAAAATTTCCACCACTGCTCTCTTACATGAATACATGTTTAAAGATTAAAAGCATGGGGGAAGATATACTAAACCAATCTATTTTAGTAAAATCAGTATGATTTACTTTGTCTACATATTTGCAGCCAATTGTTAGTCAATCAAAGTTATTTATACATACACACATTATATATATATATATATATATATAATACATAGAATACACACACACACATGCACACACACAAATGAATCCCTCAGCTAAGAATATTGCTATATAGATATAGTGTAATGGGTTTTGAAGGATAAACAGTTGTTCCTTAGGAAACAGAAGAAATAGACCAATGTTCAATCTACCGCATATATTTTCAGTGAAATTAGTGGATGTCTTTACGCAAGAAAGATCCACTAAGAAGGGCGATGGGTGATATTTGTTCTTCATTCAAAACAGTTGCTTTGACCTCAAGTGAAAGTACTGAGAAGAACAGAAAACAATACTGTATGTTATATTCAGGAGCTGAAGCACATTTATTGTGACATTTGATGATAGTGTAATAATGCGCCTTGGTACTATATTATTTGGTGTGCCATTCTTAGATCTTTTGTTGCCATAACGACAGAATATGTGTGTGTGTATTTAGTAGAAAGACAATCCTTTTTTTCCCAGTCAATTTTTTCTTTGATCTACAGAACTTGCTTCTTTTCTCTGAAGTTGTTCACAATACAGCATGATAGAAGGAGCACAGGTAATAATTACAGAAACTTCAAGAGAAAAAGAATACATGTTTTAAATGAAAGCGTTAAGCCCCTTGCCTTATGTCCTAGGACTCTTAAAGATGATTGAAGTGATTCCTGTCTGTATCTATCATAATGCCCTTTTACCCTTATTGGAGACAAACTAAAGATACAAAGGTTATGCCTTTCTTGATTAATCTATGTGACAGGGGCAAATTGCCTGTTTTCTTTTGTTCCTTGTTTTCTTTCTTTCTTTCTTTCCTGTAGAGTGCCAAAGGCAGGGAACTCCAGTGCTTCACTAGTGACTCATAAGAAAACTTAATAGAAGGTCCTAGTGCCCACTAGCCCTCCAGTACCTGATTGACGTGGTCCCAAACTAAAGTAGCCTAACCTTCATTGAACCAAGCACTTCAGAGGCATGGGAAGAGGTATGGGGAAGGAGTCCTTGCACTCTGGCAATGAGGGAAGTAAGTCTGTTATTTTGCTGTTAGTTTTGTTATCTGTGTTTTTGAAGACAACCTTTTGTTATCATTGTTACCTGTAGAGTATTTTTGTACTATCTGTATTATCTGTAGTGACTGCATTTTGTAGTTACTATATTCTCTTAGTAGTTAAAATATATAGGTAATGGATTTAGATGTCTGTGTGAAACCCTCAGTTTCCTAGATTGTAAAGTGGATTTAATAACATATAGTATTTTTGGTGAGAATTATGTTAAAAATCTATGCAAATGTTTAAAAGACTACCTAGTAAAAACTTCGAGCATAATCAATGATAATTACCATAATTACATGAAGGGATGTGGAAAACACTGAAGGGGCCCTTTGAGCTACTGCTGAGCTGATGACATACGCTCTTTACTCCTGAAGTCACTGTTTCCCCTTTTCCTGTATAGAAGAGTTCATCAAGTTTGCATTTGATAATCCAGTTCACATTTGATAACCCTCTTGCCGACTATCACCCATGACCCAAACCAACACAGTAAACTGTTAAGAGGCACTATGCTAAGTATTTAATACTTTGCAGCATTTACTGTGGTGATGTTAGACAGGGAGTTATTTATAACACCATTATTTAGATATTTTACAATTTCAAAGAAACATCACATAAATTTTCAGTATCAAATATGTACACACATTTAATATTTGGTATAAATATCTTATCAGTGGTCCTCAAATGCAGTTGTGCATCACGATCACCATGCAGAGTATTACAAATATAGGTTTATGGGCACCCCAGTACTGATGTTCTGATTTGGTAGGAAAAAGGTGGGGCCACAAAACCTACATCTTGACAACTTCTAAGACTATTCTGATATACAATCCAGCTTGACAATAGGAGTTCTGTAATAGTTGCAGTAAACTTAAGTTTGTGGTAAACACACATACACACACACAAACTCACACACACATACAAGCACACACTCCATTTACTACTTTAATTTTTCTTCTCACATATTTATAGCAATGCCAAGAAAGAGACAATATGGCACCCCACGTGACAAGACATAGGATGTACTGTATTTGCTTTTAACCCAATTGAAAGACATGCCAGAAAAAAATATAGACCTGAGAGAAAAAGATTCTATAATGCTTTGCAAAATTATCATTATTTTAATCATGGAAACAGTACTGCATTCCATTTTTGCAAGTTTTTCTTTTCTTTGATTGTTAAGTATTGAAATATCTTCAATGTTGTGATCTCTTCACATTTATCTCAGCTAAAAGCAAGGGTTATACTCTATCACTGTGGCCTATTTTTGTATTTCTATTTATGAGGTTGGCCATCATTATGATGTTAAGTAATTAATAAGATATGAACAGTGAAACTATTATGGGGCTTTAAATCATTTAGTTTATTTAGTATTATTACATCTTTGACAAAGGAAAATAAAATCCATGATGAACAAGAGAATTACAATCTCATCTAAATGAATCTAACTACGATTTTCAAATATCACTTGGATCAACTCATTAGCTCTCCCTGATAACTGTCAGTCTCAATATAAAGGTAATTGACATAACTTTATGGTATTCACCGTAACTCCTTAGCCACAGCTGACAGGACTGAAAACTGTGTAGGACTGTTTCTCATACTGGTCCTGCATATTAACATTGGCCAGTTGATTGCGTGTTCCCTAAAAGCATCCCACCTTCAAATTTGAACTTCCCATGTACTCTGTTTTTTTTTTTTTCAGTTTCAATTAACTGTCCAAATCCAACCAAATCTGGTAGAGACAACAACTAGTAATAGTGTTATCAAAGGACTCAAACAGGTATGTGTGTTTAGACATGTGGATATATTCTGTTCTGCTTATTTATCAGAGTTAGTTCATGAAGCCATTTGAAAAAAGTTGCTCACCCACTTACCAGTGAAATTCTGTGTGACAGTTTTTTTTTTTTAGATATCCCCGTTCATTCAAGACACTTAGGCCTTTTCTTGCATTCCACATTTTTCAGTGAGTGTGCCAGCTTGTCCTCTATTCTCTGAACTCACCCAGTTCAAGTCTTGTTTTTAAAAATTTTATTGATTATACTCTTTTCGAAGAAAATGTCATAAATTCTATGTAAAAATAAATATGCAGTAGTTACTATCCATTTTATCATAGTAACTATGAGACTGAGAAATAGAGAATGTGCAAAATTGGGAATTAAAATGACTTACATTTTACTCCATAAATCTGTAGTAATCTTGGGTCAGTTCTTATCACACTAAGCCTCTGTTTCCTCATATGTAAATGGGAATAAAGATGCTTACCATCTGCTTCACAAGGTAGTTATGGGTTTCAAATAAGGCAACTTATGTGAAGATGCTTTGAAATTGTGAAGCATTATATAGAAAAACTATGTTATTAAAATAATTAACTTACAAAGTCTCAGTTGCATAAAGTAAAAGATTGAATAGGCTTTTGTATACAGCAGATTTGGCTAGAAATCAATACCATGACTTCTGTGAAATATGGCTAATAATGTCTAAAAGTTAGGACTTTGCTAAAGATTAATAAGATCAAGTTTATCTCTTGACTGCCTCTCTCCTCCAACTTCTACCTCCTAAAACGTATCCTGTTTTCCAAATTCGTACATCTCAAGCTTTTGCACCTAAAAGTTTAATTATATGAGCATATATATGTAAAAATACACACACACACAGAGGCAGACAGAGAGAGAGAGAGAGAGAGAGAGAGAGAGAGAGAGAGAGAGCAAACGAAAAGCCTCCCATTTCCCCATAGATGCTATGTATCTCCATCATGAAATGTTTGTCACCGTGATTATTTTATTTTTTCACTGCCTACTAAGTTATACCATAAATTCCTTGAAATATGGGACAATTGACTTAATTTGCTTTATATTTTCATGATCTAACACGTGTCGTATACTTAACACTCAATAAACATTCCTAGAATTAAAGTAAGTAACTCAGTAATGGGCTACTTACTTCACTGAGCTACTGACTATAGAAATGATGTAATTCCTGCTTATTAGATTAAATCCAATTTCTTCTCTGTTTTTTGGAAATAGTAAAAAACACCCTCTCTAGCTCCTATGTTATACTCAGCATTATAATAAGATACACTGTATTTAGGGAAAGTGTTTTTCTGTAATAAGCTGTTTATTACAATAAAATTCCATTTAAAAAATTATGGTATATATTGAGAATTATAACACTATTTCTCCTTAAGATGTTTGTCCTAACCCCACAGGACATATATTTGTATATTATATTGGAAATATTATTAGTGCCATTTAAGTTCCAGACCAACTGCAAGTCCCACCCAAGCAATTAATACATCTTTTTATATAGTATTCACATAATCCACTAAGTGTGGTTACTCACAGTGGAGTTGTAACTGGGATGGATGATATGAAGTCAACCTTATAACTCCTCAGAAACTCATAGTTGCACAACAGCAAGAATGAATGCGAAGGAAAGTGTCTCACTCTGCCATCCTTTTTTTAATCTGTAAAATTGAAAATAAAAAAAATTAAATAATTTTTGCCCTTAAGTACAAGTAGCTTTTGGATCTCCCATGGAATAGCTTACCCAGCAGCCTTTCACCCTCTTATTGAATCTCTGAAAGTATTTGCAATGTGTGGTGAAAGCACCACCCTCCACTTTCTGCATTTTCTTGGTCTTTCCTTTCTATCCCCCTCAAAAGTATATAAAAGCAGATATCAGGGATTGTAGAAGGTAATGATCATGATTGGTAATTGAGGTGGGAAGCACTACCTATGATCCTAAGAAATGTTACTTTCCCCCAGACAAACACTAACAGTGCAAGACACAGTGAGAGTCACAGATCCATGGATGGACGATCCTTTTGAGGACAATAGGGGGAAAATTTGGATAAGTTTCCTGAGTGAGAAACCTTCCAGATGGCAGTCTGAAAGTTAGTTTTTCCTGCTCAAAACACAGAGCTTTCTCAAGAGAAAGATAACACTCTCTTCCATTAGACCGAGTGAGATAAGTTTTCAACAGAGTTATTCTGGAATTGGAAAACAAAATGTGTGCAAGGAGGTTTTGTAAATGTTTCTTGTTTATATAACATAGTAGAAATACCTATGTTTTTCAGTTGTGGCAAAACATCCTCTAAAGCAAGAATACAATGTTTATAATGTGTCTGAGGACCTTTCCAATCAGGAATAACAGCACAAAACTCAAAGAGATCAGACAGACTTGATAGAGTATGAAGCAAACTAGGAGGGGTTGAGTCTCATGCTCTACCAACTGGACTAGTAAGGTGACCACAGAAGAGATAAACAGGACACAGAAGTGACTCAATTACTTCCAGTTCTCATACTAGAGTTAGGACTCATCACTAATAAGGAAAATTGCTGATTAGCATTTATACTTGAGTATGGTATGTAGGAGATGATGTGTACATTTAAGTTACTCAGTCACTGCATTCATTTAACCATTTTGAAATGGAGTTGTTTTTAATCCATTTATTTGATTGAAAAGTTAAAATTTAAACAAATTAGAAATCCAAATGCACATCAGCAACAGATCATTCTTAATGAATACTAATAAACAATAAAAGAGAATAAGCTATAGTTAGACAAAACAAGGTGCTCAGTAAAAGAAGTCAAACACAAGTTTATCTACTATGTTATTTATATTAAGTTCTAAACAAAAAGAAAACTATCTTGTGATACAATGGTATCTATAAAAATGGATCATGACTTTTATGGCAGGTGTGTGACTGAAAGAGGCTATGGAAATTGAGCGGGGGTGGGGGGAACCTCTGGATGATGGTAATATCATTCTTTGATCTAGATGCTGGGTACTAGGATTTTATTACTTTGGGGAAATTTTACCCAGTTATAGAGAATGACTATTCATATGTCATCTTTCATTTGAAAGAGTTCAAAATAAATCAACACACAGGTCATGAATGTAATATATAGAAGAAATACATGGCAGGACAATTTTCTTGTCAACCACTCTCATATTTGACATCCCAACCTGCATATTCCATGTGTTAATGAACAATTTGCCAACTCCAAGTGTCCTAATAATTCCAATTTGGTGCTTTGATTCATTTTGCTCCCCTGGCTTGGATCATCTACCTTTTCTCTTTCTTGGAGCAACCAAGTTCAATCCACAAAGCTCATGTAATATTTCTCTGAACTTAAGAGCTCCTGATCTAAGCTTCTTTGATTATCTCTAAATGAACTTTTTTTTTTTTGCTGCCTATTGTAGTTTGTGTGTTTGTCCTACTCTTTCTCTTAAACATGGAGTTTCCTTAAGTCAGGGGCTATGCCTGCCATCTTAGTGTTTTCATCTAAAGTACTTGGCTTAGTTCCTGGCCCATAATAGGTACCATAGTCTATAAATATTTGTACAATTGAATGATACAGCCATTTTGACTGCAATATCTTTATATTCCGCACAGTTTTTTAGGTCATTTTGCAGTTCCTCAGAACGCTATGATCTTTTCATCTATGGTCAAGGATAAGATTAATTTTGGTACTTCATCACATTGTAATATAACAGCAAACTTTAATTGTTTAATATTTCAATCTGCAAGATCTGCCTAATAGGAGGAAAAAGTGGTTCCTTTCTTGTGGGAGTGAATGTTCCAGGGAGACTAATATAACTATCCTGTAACTATATTGCAACAAAACAAATTATCAACTCCATTCATGCTGGGGCTGAAACTTTCTACATTGGTGTGCATTCACTAAACAACTTGGGCTAAGCCTGGCTGTAAGGATGAAATCATTACTATAAATGTAATGATCTTTTATGCTGTTGTCTCTTTCTCTCTCTTCATGATTGTCATTTTATTTCCTTGAACCTGGAACACAAAGAATTAGGAGAAAGTTACAAGTCTAGAAGATGAAGTCAAGGATATATTCTTCATACTATTACACAGAATTAAGGAAGCTGTGACACATTTTTTAATCAGAAAGAGCTCTATATGCACTAGACAATTATATTCACTTTAGGTATGTTTCAATAGAGACCAGTTCTGTCTCTTGGTTGAGGGGATTACCATAATTTTCATTTTTTATTTCAGAAGAGCTCAATGTCTCTGCGATTTCTTTTTGTACCTCAGCAGTCAACTAAGTCATGTAGACAGTTTTTTACATAACCTTCCTACCTGCACTTGTTTGGCACATTATTCTGCTTAAGAGAACAGTGAACCAGCTGTAAACGGGTCCTGAGGAGAAGCTTCCAGATTGCAGCAATTTAAGTTCTGATTGCTTCCCTCCTGGCTATGATGTTGTTTTTCCTTAACATTGAAATGTCATTATTTTCTTGATACAAACTTTGCTTACTGATTGTGATATTGCTGCCTAGGGTTTCAAAAAATTAGTCCCCCTTAAATAATCCAAGAAGACAAAAAGATAATCTAAGAGAAAGCACAGTTACCCTGCAGAATCTTTCAAGGTTTGAAGATGCACTGATTGGAATGCTTTTCTGTGGTTACATATCTTCATCTGCCATATTGGCTGGAGACAAAAAAAATGCCTTCTCTTCATTTTATTCACACAGACTTCTAGGAAGTGACTCTCGCCCTCAAATATGCAGTATCCAGAACTCCTTGAGAAATAACATTTATCAAATATTGACCCTTCACAATTGTAAAAAATAATGCACTCATCATCTTGCAAAAGAGCTTTCAAATGAAAAATAACAAACCTAACTGGAGAGCAGGAATAAAGCAGGGGGTTGGGGGTGGTCAGGGAGACAGGACTGCATTATAGCAGCAGATAAATATTTTTCATTAAACATTAAAAACAACATCTGTTACTCTCTTTAATAATGAGAAGATTTCACTTTATTATGTTTGGGGTAGTTAATGACTTTCAAAGTAATTTGCAATTTAAACATGCCTCTATCTAGTGACTAATTCATGACAGTCTTCAGCATTAACTATCAATTTTATTAATGGTCTCTTTCTCAAAAGTGAAAAAGTGGTACATCATTTCCTTGAATTGTGATAATAAGAAATAAATGAATACGCTAAAAATATTTAGTCTGTGACTTTTCTCAGTGTTTCCCTTTTCTAAACTTTCCTCTTTTTCTCCAAGAAAGGAATATTTGGGAACCAAAGAACAATTGATTGGTAAAAGCAAGAATCTCTTCTTTTCCCCTTTATTATTCATCTCCAAATTGCTAGCTGATGGTGATCATTACATTTCTTGTAATGACGACTTTATTCACAGAGCCAGGCTCAGCCTAAGTTGTTTGGTGAATGCAGATCAAAGTAGAAAGTTTTAACCTCCAAGTAATGGAGTTGACAGCTTGTTTTGTTGCAATACAGCTAAAGCATGGGTGAGATGATGAGAGCTCAGAGGATGCTGCAGCCACAGTGCTTGCCTCTATATTCCCAACCTTCACAGTGAGTTTCAGCTTCAGCTTCCTATCACCCACTGGAGCTGTGCTCTGGACGTCAGCGTGTTAACTGATGCTCTTAGTAATGTCTTACCCCACAAAAGCCTCAAAATTATTTCTCAGTTTCAACCAATATTTGAAGTCAATACAACAGAAACATCAGTTCAATTCAAACTTGTGCTTATCATGTTCCTCAGGACGGCATGATACCACCGATAACCTCACCTTGGTAGTCAACCTCTTCTCTCCCTGGCTTTGCCTAATATTAATATTCTCTCTCTATCCACTTATCTATGCCAGTTAAGTCCCAGCAGGTTCTAAGTCAGCTTAGTATATCAACAATATGAAATATATATTTGATTTTATATATATATATATATATATACACACACACACACATATATATATATATATATGGAATCAATTCTATCCTTTGTTTCTTTATCCAAAACCAATATTTTTTGGAATTCAGAGAAAACATGATTCCATGTTGAGAAAAGGTAAGAGAAAGAAGAAAAATAAAGGGAAGCATTATCTTTCACATGCAATATTGGATAATTGCCCCTCTTGGTACTATTTATTTTTAAACTGAACTAAATGTGTTCAGATAGACCTCAGTGTCTAAATTTTTACAAAATGATAATCATATTTCCCTTCAATATATCTGTAAGATATTCAAATGAAGGAATTACTAAAGTCTTCTTTTATAATATCCCCTAAAGATAGAATCTGGGGAGTCTGATGAATAAAATGGTCTAAATCAATCCTGGTATTTCTTTGACATCTTATATCTTATTTGATAGATTCATGAAGATTTTGGATTTGACTTCCTAATGTAGATAAGTGGGTCTTCTGTGGCTGCATTTAAGATTTTTTTTTTTTTTTTTTTTTTGCATTGACATGAGTTTTGAGTAACTTACGATGTGCACTGGTACAGTTTTCGTCACATTTCCAATACTTGGGTTTTGTTTAGCTTCTTGGTTCTTTGAGTTTATAGTTTTTCTGAAATTTGAAAATATGTTGGACATTATTTCTTTGCTTTTTTTCTATTGTATGTACTTTAAAAATACCACAAACTTGGCATTTAAAGCGGTAGCCCTTTATTCGTTCACAGCTCCATAGGTCAGAAATCCAGCAAGACATAGAGGTCATCTGCTTAAACTGTTGTGTCTGAGTGAGTTCTCTATTATTTTTCCCCTCTTTCTTTTGAAGGCTCTGGGAGCAAAATCTTCTAAAATCATTCTTTTTGTTGGCAGAATTCAGTTCCTTGTTATTTTAGGACTGGATTCCCATTTCCTGCTGACTATAAGCCAGGAGTTGCTTTCATCTCCTTGATGCTGCCTGCTTTCCATGTCACTTGGCACCTTCTATCCTTAGGCCACCATTGATATGCTGAAGCTTTCTTGTGTGCCACATCTCTGACCTTCTCTTCTGCATCCAACTAGAGAAAGCTCTCTTCTTTCCACCACTTTATGTGATTAGGTTAGGCCCACACAAATAATCTCCCATTTAAAGGATAGTTGTGCCTTATAACGTATCCGAATCAAGACAGTAAAATCTGCCATATTAACTGTCCTTGGTATTATATAGGGTGAATACACCATGGGCTGAAAAATCTTGGGGCCATATTAGAATTCTGTCTACCACATTGGCTATCATTTTGTGCCCCTCCTCTCTCTCATTGAGGGATTCTCATTACATCCATATTCAGCCTGTGACATGGTCCTGCAGCTCACTGATGCTCTGTTAATTTTTTTGTCTATTCTGTTTCTGAATTTCATTTCCAACTATTGCTGCTGCTGTATCTTCAAGTTAACTACTCTTTTCTTCTACCATGTGTAATCTGTTCATTACAACTAGTGTTATGTCTCACATGCTATAGTTTCATTTCTAGAAGTTTGAATGAGTTTGTAAGTATCTTCCATGTCTCTAACTTTTTGAATGTATGTTGTATAATTATTATTTTTAAGTCTTGTCTATTAATTTTAATATATGTATCTTTTCTGAGATGGTTTCAATTGATTATTTTCATAATTATAGTCTATATTCTCCTGCTTATTTGTAAGCCTGGTGATTTTTACTTGGATATTAAGAATTATACATTTTATTTTGTTGTGCCTAGATATTTTTGTGTTTTTATAAATATCATTGATTTTTTTTTTTTGGTTTTTGTATTCTCTGGGACACAGTTAAGTTACTTGTAAAATACCTCATGCTTTTGGACCTGCTTTTAAGATGTGCTAGGCAGGACTAGAGCAGTACATAGTCTAGAACCAGAGGGGTGACAGAAACTAAGAGCTCAATTTTTGATGTGTTAAGTTTTAGGTGCTTATTAGGTATAAGAATGAAGCTACAGAATAGATAGTTGAATATATAAGTCTGATTTTAGGGGAATAGATTAATGATGGGAATATAAATTATCTTAATAATGCAACCAAGTAATTTAAACACATACATAACTGTATATTGTTTAACTGAAGGAGTCTAATCAATAGGCCTGGCAGGAAAAGGACACACTGACTTTTTATGTCATTGTTGTATTATAGTTCAGGAATTTTCAAAGTGGAGTCTCTGGATCAGCAGCGTTGTCACTTGGGAATTTGTTAATAATGCAAATTTCTGACTCTACCTCAGGCCTACTGAATCAGAAGTTTCAGGAGCGGAGCCAGCCACCATTTTAAATAAACCTTCTGGATAAATCTGATGGATTCAAGTTTGAGAACCACCCATCTTGCTAATAAATGCTAAAGAGTACTTCGTGGATTACTGTCATCTTAGGTGCCAGGTCTCAAAGAAAGCAGACATTTCTAGGTGAGGAATAGAGAAAGGACATTCTCTGTGAGGGGAGCAACCTGTGAAAAGGCATTGGGTCTAAATGACATTGAAATCAGTCCCTCACTATTTAATTTATATAGTCTTTATTACTTGAAAGAGCCTCTCTGAGCACCACCAAGTGTCAGTTCCTAATCAGGGAATTCAGTGAAAATCCTTTTCCTCGTAAAAATTTTATCTGAGGTTGCTAGAAAATATAGTGTTTCAAAATATGATGCCAAAATACAGTAATTCAAAAACCCCAATTTTATAAATGTTTGTAATGTTGATATGTATAAATTCAAGTAATAATTATTGTTGCTAATTCTATATTTACTTGGAGACTATGAACAAATCAGAATTTTCCAGATACTTGTAGTACTGTAACATTTCCTACAAGAGCTTAACCTATGCCTAATACATGATAAGTATTTAACAAATAGTAGCAAATATAATTTGTATTATTTCAAAAGCACTGACCATTCCCTTGGTGCATTTTGAAGAGTGTCACAGGGGCTCTGTGATTCATAGCTAGTGTTCTAAGTAATCTCTTCCATTTAGGTAGCATGCATTTGCATACCATAAAAGTAGAGCATGATTAATTGCATTGGTCATAAGCCCTAATAAAGTGCTATTTTGGAATAAATATGGCCTGTCTGTAAAGGTATTATTAAATGCCACACTTTCTTCTTTCTCAAAAGTAAAAGATAGATATTACCTGTCTAACTTCCCCCTAGATGGGCTGGATTAGACACTTATAAGGGGAGCATAATGCTGAGACAAGGTCTACAACGCCAGAAAGGTTAAACTGGCTGTCAGGTATGGGGATATAAGTTCAAGATTAGAGATAAAATATGAAGGCAAATAAAGACAGAAAATGAGGGAGATATGAAGAGTTAAGCAGGACCAAGCTGAGTCAGCCCAGGATTAGGTGAACTGAGCTGGACTTCTCTTCTCACCATCCCAGAGCTCCACCCTGATGACTGGTTTTGACAAAATGCTTTGCTTAGGATCTGATGCACACTCTCTTCCACTTCTGAAACCAACTCCTGTTTAATTCAGGTTTCAAGAAATTTCAAAACAAAAATTTCACACTTCAGTGCAGGAAGGTGATCCTGAAATGGACTAACTTTTCGATTTCTGTCAAAAGCATCATTATGGGCTCAAGATTTTACAATTATATGATCAATTCTCTTTCATTAACCACACTTCCCTTTTCACTTCTTTTTTTTTTTTTTGAGATGGAGTTTTGCTCTTGTCACCCAGGCTGGAGTGCAATGGCGCTATCTCTGTTCACTGCAACCTCCGCCTCCCAGGTTCAAGCGATTCTCCTGCCTCAGCCTCCCAAGTAGCTGGGATTACAAGCCTGTGCCACCACACCCAGCTAATTTTTGTATTTTTAGTAGAGATAAGGTTTCCCCACATTGGCCAGGCTGGTTTCAAACTCCTGACATCAGGTGATCTGCCCACTACTGCCTCCCAAATTGCTAGGGTTACAGGCTTGAGCCAGTGCACCCAGCCTCCATATTGTTTTTAATTTGGTGAACTGCATTACATTTTTTAGTATAAACAATGAAGAGTATAGAAAACTTATGATGCAGTTATGTTACTCAGACATCAGGCTGGGACCCACCCATGGTCTAGGAAGTTGAGTGGTAACCACCTACTGTTAAAGTTTTTCGTGCCAAAATGATCTTTTTCATAAAGTACTGTACAGAAATCTGAGGTTTCAATTTGTTTACTTTTCAAAAACTTTTAACAGATTCAAAACTCTCTTGTGAAGAAAGCTGTGGCCTGATTGCAAATATCTTTGGGGGTTACTTCTGTGAAACAGGGTGATTGCCCTCTGTCTGGGCAAGAGAGAAAGTCAGCCTGTCAACTTTGAAAGCACAATGCCAATGCAACCTCCAGTTCAGCTTGTCTCTAAAACATACAAATCCCTTTGTAATCAATACTACAGCACTCAGGCACTAATTTCACAATAGAACTATGAAGAAGTTGTAATGCAGCATTTTTCAAAGACTGCTTGGAACGTCTAATATTAACAAAAATAGCGTAGTAGCCATGTCAATCTTTTAATTCTCTAGATTCAATAAACTTATCCTGATATTTAGATAGCCAGAAATAAGATACCAGTGTAATATTGTTTAAACTATCCTTAGGAATCTGTTCATGAGCATATCAGTTAAACACTAAATGATGCAAGATGTGGTAGACACCATGCTGGGTACCTTGGAATATCAGAGGAAAAGGAAATGCAAATCATTTACAATGGCAAGTTCTGACTACAACTCCTCGAGAGGGTTAACAGCAAAAATTTTCATACATAGAATATTAGTGTATGTTTTAAAATCAGTATTAACTAGCATTAACATGTATTTTAGAATGAATGTTGAAAAAAAAGCACAATATTTCTTATTCTTATTTTTTATCCTACAGACTAATAAATATTGATTGACTTCCATGTATAATAGAAATATGATGGGAAACCAGGTAGGGCAGGTAGTCCCTATCTCGAAGAAAAATACACCAAAGGAATCTTAGGAAGACTGCAATTAAAGACATAGCCATATAAAGCTTTAAGACCATTTGAAAAATTGTAAAATAATCAAGTTCCGATAATGAAGCCTGAAGAAAATAATGGGAAATCCTTTACACCTAAAAATGTAGCCTATTGGAAGCTATTCTTTTTAAGGGCATAATTTATCTTTTATCTTCCTGCTACTAATACTTCTTCTAAAAAGACTGAAAACTTCATATAATTTCTTCTTGTTGGCAATGATGATGACTTTATTTCTCAAAATACAACTATTTAAATAAGTCAAATGATGAGAAATTCTTTACTAACCCTATTTCTTGTTAAGTGACATAAAATGCAGAAGTCATTCCACATAATGATATCATCAGGTCACCTCTATTTCTCTACTCTTTTTTTTAATTTGAGACAGTCTCACTCTGTCACCCAGGCTAGAGTTCAGTGGTGTGATCTCGGCTCACTGCAACCTCCTCCTCCCAGGTTCAAGTGATTCTCCTGCCTCAGTCTCCCAAGTAGCTGGTACTACAGGCACGTGCCACCACACCCAGCTAATTTTTTGTATTTTTAATAGAGATGGGGTTCCACTCTTTTAGCTAGGATGGTCTCTATCTCCTGACCTCATGAGCTGCCCACCTGAGCCTCCCAAAGTGCTGGAATTACAGGCATGAGCTACCGTGCTTGGCCTCTCTACTCCTATTTTTTGTCGTGAATTTATATTGTCCATCTTTATGTTACCTTCCTCACTGTATGTGGTTTCAAACCTCCAAAAACAGTTTTGGGAAGAAGCAAAGCATAGCAAACTTTATTAAAGATGAGCAAACATGTGGAAATTAGATTTCCACATATTAGGTGGAAATTCTCCATTCCATATTAAGTGTAGTTATTTTCTTAATTCCATATGAAGTGCAGTTATTTCCATATGAAGTGTAGTGGTAACCTACAACATTCACAGAGCATATTACCTATGCCTTTTAAGAGCAACCACCACCCATTATATATGTATGTATATTTTTGTGTAACCTGTGAAAAACTCTGTTAGAACCAACATCAGTTTTCCACTTCCTCTTTGTTAACAAAGAGACTTGATCATGATTTGGTGATGTAGGTTTTGTGAGGGGCAATGCATGGAGGCCATGGCAGTGTATCATGTATATTGTGTCCTCATTCTTTATATTCATAGCCTTCATTTCAGCTGGGGCTGCACGTATGATCCAGTTTTTGCTAATAATGACGGAGGAAATCTGATGAGAGAATTTCTGAAAAAGCTTTTTCTTTCTTATAAAAAGCTCACAGAATTGTCAGGCACTTCCTTTCCTCCTACCTTCCTTTATTAAAAGGCCATGTCAAAGATATGGCAGATATTTTGTGATGATGAGACATTACCCAAGAAGATGGAAGCCAACAGCTTCAGAATGCTAGAGAAAAGTTCAAGATCCCAGATGTCAGTGGGTGGCAGAAATGGGGAGATGTCAATGGGTATACACGTCCAATTATTAGATGAGTTGTTCTGGGGATCTGATGTACAGCATGGTGACAATAGTTAATAATAATATATTGTATACTTGATTTTGTCAAGAGAGTATCTGTTAAGTATTCTTATCACATATGCATAAAAGCAAATTAAGTGAGGTGACAGATATGCTAATTAGCTTGATTATGGATAACATTTCACAGTAAATATGTATATGAAAAAATCATGTTGTACACTTTGAATATATGCAATTTGTATTTGTCAATTATTCTTCAATAAAGCTGAAAACAAATCCTGGTATTATGTCATTTTAAAGAAGCTGAACCAGCACTAGTAATATCTGCTACAGTCTTCTTACCATGTGAAAGAGATTAACTGCCATATATTTAGAAAATTATTAGTTGGGATTTTGGTATATGGCAGCTGAACATATTCTTAACTTCTGCACTTTCATACTTTTGCATTAGTAATACTCAGTAAACAATTTTTTTCAAATTGTTCTTTAATCAAGATGTCATGTATGCTCCTTGTCACCCTCCTACTCAAGTGATCTAAATTAGTTGCTCACTAATTTTTGCCAGAGCCAGTCAGTAGTTAATAACTATTTGCCAAATGAAAATGAATAAAATTTTCATAATATTCATTTATGTTTTCCTTCTCTTTCCAGTAATCTTGAGGTCGATTTATTTTTCCCAATCATAATTTTCATCATGGCTTTTTCTCTTTCTTTTTTTTTGAGACAGAGTCTCCCTCTGTCACAGAGGCTGGAGTGCAGTGGCGTGATATTGGCTCACTGCAACCTCTGTCTCCCAGGTTCAAGTGATTCTCCTACCTCAACCTCCCAAGTAGCTGGGACTACGGGTGCGTGCCACCATGCCCTGCTAATTTTTTGTATTTTTAGTAGAGACAGGTTTCACTGTGTTAGCCAGGATGGTCTCAATCTTCCTGACCTCTTGGTCTGCCTGCCTTATCCTCCCAAAGTGCTGGTATTACAGGTGTGACCCACTGCCCCCGGCCACCTATTTTTCTGTTTATATATGTTAAATGGCTCCCCAGAGGCTACAGAAATCTGAATTTGCTACTCCATTATTGAAAATCATTCAACGTCTACCCTCAATATTTCTTTTCAATCTAATTTCACAGTATTGATTATAATCCAAACAAACTGCTGTTACTTTTTCTTACATAGCTAATCAGCTTTGGAGAGGGGATACTATTTTGCTGAAATGACTGACTGCTCCTCATTTCTGCCTAGCAATCACAGACAACCTTTCTTCATTCCTCAATTTAATCAACCTCCACCAAAATGGAAACAATATTGTCCTATTCTGAACTATAAAACAGTAACTTATTTGTTATTTCCTAACAACTTATATAGGCTGCTGAATATTATAGATTTCTGAGTACAAGTCTTTTCTGCTCTACTATATTTGTGATACTGTCCTTGCTTTTTTGAATTTTGTTGCAGTGTAATACACAGAAGTAATGTAATGTATATATATATATGTAGTAATACACAGAAAATTATAAAAATCACAAGTATAGAGTTGGAGGAAATTTAGGCACATGAATACTGTTATATAACTCCCACTTAAATTAAGATAGAGAACAAAACCAGCATATCCAGAATCCTTTCTAATGTTTCTTCCCAGTGACCATCCATGTAAAATGTAATCACTTCTCTGATTTCCATCATCCTATGTTAGAATTGCCTGTTCTTTAACTGTGTGTATTATCATTTGTTATGAATTCTTTTGTGTTTGGCTTCTTTTGCTCAGCATGTGTTCATGAGCTATATTCTTTTTGTTCATATGAATGTAGTTTGTTCCCTTTCATGAGTATAGTATTTTGTGTGACTGTACTATAATTTTTATCCATACATTTATTTTATCCAAACATTATTTTTATGTTTATTGATAAACATTTGGTTTGCTTCCTGGTTTTCACTACTGTAAATAATGTTGCTATAATGATTCTTGTACAAGTGTGTTGGGAGCACATTAGATACGTTTCCACTAAGTATATATCTGAGTGTAGAATTTCTGGTAATAATGTGCATGTAAGTCCAGATATTCTGCTTTGCAAAATAAAAAGAACAAAATTCTCCACTTGCATCACAAATGACTGTATGTGTGTGGATCTATTGCTGAACTTTCCATTGTTTGTTTTCTTTGCCTGTTTTTATACCAAACATCACATTGTTTCAATAACTACAGCTTTATGATAAATCTGAAGGTCTGATAGGGTAAATCTCCCATTTTTAAAATTTCTTGATTTTTCTCTACCATTCTTGTCAATACATTAAAGGGAATATAACTGTTATAAGTGCATGGAAGTATTACAGATTAACTTAGGAACATTTGTTAAAATTCTCAGTTTTCTAATTTAAATAGTATATCCCTTCATTTATTTAGGTCATATTTAACTTGTAGTTCTTCATGTTGAGGTTTTGCACCTCTTTCCTCAGAATTGTTTTTATATATTCAATTCTATTTCTTTTACTTGCCTTATTGAACTTGCAAAAAACTCCAAATGATGATAAATTGAAGCAATTATAGTTGAAATTCTTCTCCTGCTCTCTTTCCCAATCTCTGTAATTCAATATTTTACCATAAATGTGACTTCTGCTGGCAGATTTTTGCAGATATGCTTTATCAGATTTTTAAAAACTATGATTTCTGGTTTAATAACAGTTTTTAACATGAGTAGGAAGGATTAACCTTCTAATTGTAAGAATCTGGTATAGAAGCTATACATCCATAGTAAACGAATTAAAAACTGGTCAAAATATATGAAATGACTGTTTTTAGACATTGAGGATAAGTATTGTTGGGCTGTGATTCCCGATAAAAGGGAATCAGATTCGATGGTCCCTATTGAATTTCCAGCTTCCTTGATGGTGGCAATTTCCAGACCTCAGTGCAAGGAAGGGAAACTGAAGGAGAATAAGGTAGTTACAATCAGTTAGAACCTGATAGCAGAGTTTGGTTAGGCTGAAGCAGCTGGAAATTGCAGAATCTAATACCAGAAAGGAGACTGCCATACGAAGAACTCCAAAAATGTGAGCAATAATCCCCCGTACTCTGTTGTCAAATACTAAGCTGTGCATTAACAGTGTTGCTGCCTTATATGTGGATGTGGGTGCTTGGTTTCAGAAACCGGCACCCCAAAATATGGTGCTTCTGTCTCTCCCAAAGTATAGAATAAAGTTGTCTGAAGTCTCATCTACCTAAAGTCTGGACCTGCCAAAGAAGAAAACTATGACCTCTGGTGACTTTCCTAAATTTTCATTAACTGAACTCTTATCGCAGGATGAAAGACTGAAGTCTGGCAACACACCTGGGCCACAACCACTCTCTCTTCTGCAAGCCCAAAGACTTTGTTCCAGGCCATTGTATGTATTTTAAGCTCATTGAATTTCCCTAATAATCATTTACTTCCCACCTAAAACCATCCACACTTCGCCATCTCACTTTTCCCTAAGGAGAAGCATATGTAACCATTTGTATCCCATTGCATGGACATCTCTCTGTGGCTCTTGTGGTTCTCCCGAGTACGTTAATAACTTTGTATGTCTTTTCTCCTATTCTTCTTCCTTTTTTCAGTTGATTTTCAGCAAACCTTCAGAAGGCAAAGGGGGAAGTTTTTCTATCGGCCAACATGGGAATGTTTCTATAATAGTTTGCTCAGGCTTCTACAGGAAAATATCACAGACTGGGTGGCTTAAATCGGGGGTCCTCAAACCCTGGCTATGGATTGGTACAGGCCAGTGGCCTGTTAGGAACCAGGCCACGTAGCAGGAGGTGAGTGGCCAAGCAAGCTTTACAGCCTGAGTTCTGCCTCCTGTCAGTTCAGCAGCAGCATTAGAGTCTCCTAGGAGCACAAAGCCTATTGCTAACTGTACTTGCAAGGAATCTAGGCTGCATGCTCCTTATGAGAATCTAATGTCTGATGATCTGAGGTGGAACAGTTTCATCCCAAAACCATCCCATGAAAAAAACTGTCTTCCACAAAACTCGTCCCTGGTGCCACAAAGGTTGGGGACCATTGGATTAAAGAACAGAAATTGGTTACTCACAGATTTGGAAACTGGAAAGCCCAAGTCAAGGTACCTACTGATTTGGTTCCTGGTGAGAGCTCTCTTCCTGGTTTGTAGACAGCCATATTTTTAGGGGTATACTCATATGACCTCATCTTTGTGCATGGGAGTGAGAGAAGAAAGCTCTCTGCTGTCTCTTCTTATAAGGGCACATGATCTAATAGGATCAAGGCTCCACCTTTATGGCTCACAGGCCCTATTCCAAAAAGTAGTCATAACAGGGGAGGAGGTTTGGCAGGAGGTCACAATTTTGTCCCTAGGAGTTTCTGTTTTCTGTTTCCTTCCCCTTTCCTGTGTCTTAATGTACCTGGTAATTTTCGCCTGAATGTCAGAAATTATAAATATGTAATTGTTATCTCTGGGCCATATTATTTCTACCACCAATGATTTATCTTCCTCTAGGAGGCAGCTGGGGTATGAAACAGATTACCTTAATGCAATCAAGACCAATAAGATTTACAGTTGCTTTATTGTGGTCATAAGGCTCAGATGCTTTTTAATTTGCCTCCACTCCTAAGATATAGCTCTGCAGGTACTCTAGCTGGAGACCTGACTCCAGTTATTATTTGATCAGCTACTTGTATATGCTGAAAACTCTTCTCTCCCTGGCAGCAGGTTTCTGTTTTTCTTCATAGCCTCTTTCCGTGTATACCTTAAGGAATTAGGGTCTTCCTCAAAAGAAAATATCCAGAGTGTTCCCTTTTCCCCATCTCTGAAAACTCTGAGACCATTGTCTCCAAGTCTTACTTGTTATCCTAAACAAAAGTTATTTGCCAGCCCCATGCAATTAGCAAAACCTGCTCAGCTTATCTGTTATGGTTATGGTCAGTCCTTTGTCCTGTTTTGCAGGCTCTCACTTTCCCAAGACCATAACTTGGCAGATTCCCTGAGGGAAAAATGTCTTCTTATTCCCTGTTTTTGCTCTTCTGCTTTCTCACTTACCTTATCAGCAATATA